AAAAAAAAACTTACTATATTTATCACAGTCCCATTTTTCAAAGTTTCATTTCTGTCTGATGTCATTGCTACTATCGCAATACTTAAATTTCCTCTTAGTGTGTATGCATTGAAGAACCCAAAAAAGGTCATTAGTGCCAATATGTAACGTCGATGTTTCCAGAAAAGCCATTTTGAGGGCAACTGGCTCCTTTAACATAAAATTGGAATAAAATATGAAATATTTACTATACAAATTTGAATTTTAGTTAGATAAATAAGCAATTATTCCGTATAGGCAATCAATAGAATATTTTATTGTAGAGGATCTGCAACGAGATTCACTTCTACACGTTGGGACAGTTTAAAGTTTAATTTGCGTGGAAAAAGTAAGCTGATGTAAGAACAAAAGTTTCATTTAAATCTTTGATTCTTTATGCGAATTCCGACCTTATATAAAGTCGTAAAAGTAATCACGGGTTTAACACTGCCAGAACAACTTATGAAACGGAGTTATGTAAGCTCTATAAGTATACTGAATATATATTTTAAAGTTATATTTCCACTAATATACCTATACTTACTTGAGATGTTTCAAATCATGCTCAATCATATTATCCAAAGAAAATGTACGTTGCTGATGTCGTCGTAGACTTCACTATCTACTAAATTCTAAATCACAGTGACTTTCTGAAATTATAAAAAGCCGTAAAATCTTTAATATCAGTAGATATATTAACCGACAATGGCCAGACTGTAAATAAATACACATATTTTACAACATCCATGAGTCTACATTCTCTTTGAGTACGAAATGTGCCCTCGTATAGAAAATTGAGTAGATACTAATGTTAATCTTTGTTTCAAGATTTAGTCCGTCTTGGCGCGATATAAACAAACGGCGTGCTTGAATGCGATAACATTAAATTACGCTATAATCAACTATTTACAACTTGGTTTTATTACATTATTTGTCAATTAAAATCCTAATTTCACCGGTTAGTTTTTCGGTTTTTTCGGTATCTTTGATTTCACAAATGTTTTACTCCAGAAACCATCAATCCTTGCAAATTATATACGCAATGTAACTGAATCATAGATTCAATAAATAAGGAAACATTTGCAAAAGACTGGACATTGGAAAATTTGGATGGACAGGGTCTTGACCCATAAATCTGAAATATTGTATGTGATTTTTAATTTGAATACAAAACTATTTTCTATGGAACACTGGCTTTATAATGTTTTCAGATTGAGATTTTTTATAATAAAAAGTAACTATAAGCAATATAAGCATATATAATTTCGGGTTTTAAATTTTAAATACAATTAGGTTTATCGAATCAAAGCAAAGAAAAATTTTTGTAGGTAGTAGTTTGTTCAAAATCATTTATAAAAGTATAAAAAAAATTGAATCCGACAAATGTACCAAATTATATTTATTTAGGTAGTGTTAAATCAGCAGGTTTTTTACAAAGTAATTTGTGAGCAACTGCAAAAAACATGACAATTTCTGTTTGCGTTCTTACAAAAGTACTTTTTGTGTATTAATTTAATGGATTTATTCGGAAGAATTGTAAAATAAATTAAGTTTTTCGAGCTATTGGTTTTAATAGATTTGTCTCAGATAAGAGTGTCTAATACAAATACTGCAATTTTCAAAAATGCGTTGAAACTTATTTTTAGATGCAGTTTATCTAAATAATTAAGTATAGTCAACTAGTTTTCAACTAAATTACTTTCCAATGTTATTTGGCTCGTAATTGTATTAAATCTATATACAGGGTGTGCCGTAAGCAGATGATCAAAARGTMATTGCTTTATTCGTTGGATCAAAAGAAGACGATATGACCTAACTTTTATTAACAAAAAATGTCTGGCTCCTCTGCTATTGATGGTCAAAGTTTTTYAAAAAATKTATCGTTTTTKAAATATCGRGAGAATGGTACGATGTATTTTAGTRAAACTCGCTGCRAATTTGTTCTTATGYAAGACTCATATTTCGATGAAACAATCGAGYTCATCCGCTTTAGACAAGTGGTGAATTCKTGAGTGTCGTGGTACAAAAACTRCCAGATCTTTTAATTTGGTGGATGGAATTAACTCATTTTTGTTTGGTTGATGCACCAATMATTTCTTCACAATTTTGTGTCAAAAAGAGAATTTAAGACAAATTTCAATGATATTTTCAAAAATKACCTCAAATGTTCTTAGCTAAAGCTCGACGGTAAACGGTTTAGCTATGGGATTCACCCGTTGAAATTCGACTTTGCATCTYTGTCGTTTTCAGGCCATCTAGCGACATAATATTGTAATTGTATATAGAAAAAGCGGTCCCTGGCCCTGAGGTGTTCTGTGKTCAAMTAGTTTAATAATAATCTGTGGTTCAAATATCAATTTTTTSTTTTGACGCTTTAACATAACCTTAAATGTCATCGACTTGTTTTCAAATAAATGTTTTCAGCACAAATCAATTTCTTTAGGTAGATTTATCATAAYAGTATGACTGCGTCATTGCTTCTAGTAGCGACGATACTCAGTTTCTTAGCGTCACATTCTTCTCGATTTAGCAACTTGGTAGGATTTTATAAACACATGAAAATACTCCAAGTAACGCCAATACTTTCAGCTTAGAAAATGGACTAACCGATTATCCTCTGAAGGCAAACAACTGCAAAAAGAGAAACAGACGTTAAAAGATGAACAACTGAAATATAACATGGTCGACGATTTTGCTAAATATTCAAAAATCCAAAGGAAAATCAATGCCATAGACGAAAAACTGAAAGCATGTAACAGCAATCAGGACTCCATTTGGTGGCAATTGGCCTCAGCTTATGTGCCCCAAGTCATCTGCACCCTCATTCTAATGTTCCTAAGTATGTACTACAGATCTACCCCTTTATTTCGACTTCCAGATTATATTGATTTGACTCCTTTTAACTATATTATTTCTTATCCAAATGAAAGGAATAGTGTGTCCTTCCATTTTTGGGTAATGGGCTGTAACATTATAGCTAGGTCTTTGAAGAAGTGATAAAATTTGTATATATTTTTCTTATTACTTTGAATGTAGGTATATAGTGTAGGACTAACTAGAACGTGACAATACCTGTGAATTATTTATGAGTTACAAGAGTTCACGTCTTTGGGACACTTTTGTTAATTTATTTAAAAGTTTATAATGTTTTGAATTCTTACAAATGAGAATACATTGGAAAAGTACATGAAGGGGTACTTTTGGCATTTATGTGAATTTTGAATTTAAACTGTAAAAGTTCGTGTTTTTAATGATGCTAGCAGAGGAAATGATTCTCAAATCATGCCTTTGTTATTTGGATGTGCATTTTCAAACAACATATCAAGATGAAGAGGATTAAAATGCCACAAAGGTGGAGCAAACGACTGATTAGGGAGGTTCGGCCTAGATAAGTCTAATGATCGGACATGTTTATCTTTGGCTGGGAAAGCTGCTGCGTTTACGGCGATCATCCAATCAAGTTGGAACCAGAGTGACCAGACTGAGAAATGGCGATGTCTCCAACTACCGGACAAATTTCGCCAAAAATTTCCGGTTCTGGCGCCAAGTAAATTCAAACGGGGGGGTAAACCAATAAAAACAAAGCGGAACGGTTTAAAATAAACAAGAACTTTAGTTTTTCTAACCAGTTGGATTGAGATTATGTGTTTACTTGTGTGTCTAAAATATATTAATGAGAAAAATATATATTTTTTAAATCCAGTAATTTTCACTTAGGTATSCTAATGCAAAGAACWTCAAATTCTCGAAGTAGGTCTAACATTTCAGTTTCTTCTTGTTCATACTCTCAAAGGTAAAGTCAATTGCTCTGCCTTTAATATCAGTATTTTGTTATTGATACATTATGTTTGATGTAAAATCTTTAATCATATCAGTAGTAGAATTGAAATTCCAACAGCGTATATTATGTGCATAAAAATACATATTTATCCTTAAAGAGGAATTGAAAGAATTTGTCTTAAATAACGTTTTAAATATATCTTTAAGCGGGTATGTCTCTCGATTATTCGATCATCTAAAATCATATATGCTTTAATGAACTTACTTAACCTTAATGAATTAGAACCTTATACTTAAACCCGAAGGGTTTAAGTATAAGGTTCTAATATGCTTAGGTTTATGATTTAAGCTTCAGCTTTCAGATACAAGCGTTTAGATCTTTAAAATTATACTCCTATTTTATATCAGGCTAATAAAAAACTCGAAAATCACCAGGCCATRAAAAATCGTTTTGGCGGTCACTCTGGTTGGAACCTGAAACGTATGAACAGCAACTCTGCAAGATTGTTAACAACCAARAACTGAAATCGGACTGCAAAATAACTCGATGACTCATCGAAGAGACGATSAAGCAATCGATTATATCATCTTGTTAGTTTTGYMGCTCGGTGCTTTCAGAATATCGTAAAAACTTATCAATATCGGATGAGTTTTTGTTCCATTTATGTACATATATTGTTTGTGAACAATATACATGCAGACTTGAATTCGTGTTCAAAGCTGATCTGATTCCACTTCTCCGAAAAAAACTATTTTTAACTTTAAAATTGTTTGTACATAAATACAATAAATTTGTGCCAAACTATTGACGGTTTTCTGTGGAAAATTTGCTATGGTTACGGTTGTTATGGAAACACCTCATCTTTAGTAAAAAAACAGTTGCTATGAAGACTGTAGGTGAGAAAACGGTTATGAAAATAGTTACTAGGAAACAGCTGCTAGAAACAGTTTCTATGGATATAGTTGCTATGGAAACGGTTGCTATGGTGTGACGGAGATCCCCTCTCCATTCGCTCGAGTCGCAAGTAATTCTGGAGATTTCCCCTGAACGGGAATCTTGAGCACAGAACAACCCACGAAATGCCCGATGGGGGTGACTGGTTTTGTGATCTTGACCACGTCCCTGCAGATTGGACCGGTTGGTGGATGCGGAAAAAATCACTAATCTGAACGTTTATCGGGCAGAAAAACCTACTTAAAACCCCCTTGAAATAGCCTCTAGTTCTTTCCCTTCACTTATTGTCGCAAGAAAGAAATATCCAACACGCAAGAGAAGGAGCAAAAACCATAGAGTAAGTAAAATTTACTTTATGCCAAAAACAACTATAAAGTCAGTGTAGTCGCCACTGTCCTGCATAAAGGCACTGTAGGTAGAACCATAAATCTCGTGTGCGCTGAGCGCTAAAGACGTTACTGAAACATTTTTGAAACGTTTTCATGACCTGTTACAATTATGCAATATAACTGCAAGTTTGAAATGTTTCAGTAAGGTTTCATGTTTACTGCTACTAAGTAAAATATTAATTAGGTATTCGACAACGGTTATTTATTTATTTAAAACATGTTCAGTTGTGACGAAATGAATGAATGAATGAATAATAATATTTCAAACGGAGATATTTATACCATCTAGCAAAAATCCCATGAGTTTATTTAGGTTGCGCCAATTCCAAAATTCTCTTAGTCGGTTTGTACATCAAGGCACTCGGACTGACCGATGTGATCGATTGGGTTAATGGATCTATCGGATTTTGGTCTATTTTCTTGACTGTTACACGTTTTGGTTTCGATAGACTTAAAATTCGTTTTGTAGCTCTATATTTCATTGCTGATGGCTTTACGCCTTTCTTGCTAGCGGCCTCTTCAAGCGCTGTAATGTTCTTTTTGGGCTCTGCTAACTGCGCTAAATGATCAGATGTTCTTTTATTCGGGGAAGTTTTGTAATGTTTATCACTGGACGATTGTACATTGAAATGCTCTGCCATTTTTTCTTAGTTCGGAATTATTCTTACTATCAATTTATTCAAATATGTTTCCCAAAATGTCCCAAGTAGACGATATGACGTTGAAAGATGTGACAATGTGAGAGATGCATCAGGTGAACATGGTGTAACAGTAGCAATTTAATCCTGAGGTATCACTACAGAAAGGTGTTTCATGAGGAACGGGCATTATTTTAACCACGTATTCTACCTCCGAAAATAACCCTAGTATGCTTTATAAACGATAGCCCAAATATGGTTCGCTGCGGATTTACAGAGTGATGAAATTTGATTTAAAAAATAGTAAATTACAATTTTTTTCAAAACGCATGGCGACATTTTAACGAAATTTTCCAGGGATCAATAGCTAGGGAAGACGAATGTTTTGCAATAAAATAATTTTGATACATTTTGCTACTAGCGTGCGTATCTACACGCTACCGATTTTGGTAAAGAAAAAATTGGAACGACACGGTATTTTTCAATTTTTTCAAATACTTTTCAAATTCCTTGTTTTATTACAAACAAAAACATATCGTTCATTATTTGGCTACGACAACCAGTTAAGATGCTTTTACCACAGTCATGTGGTAGGTGGGTCAAATTGACCTCATTTAAATGGGTGGTTCCCATTTTTAAACTTAGTTTCCCAACGATTTTAGAAATCCAGGTGAATGTGCGACTTTAGCCCATTTCTTCARACAATATGTACAACAATGTACATATTTATTTTATTAACTAGAAAAACCATTTAAATATAAACTATGCGGAACATRAAYTAAAGAAGTGATGAGGAAGCTACCGAACTGTAGAGTGAATAAGCGAACAAGCCACAAAATRCACAATTCTTCTCTCTAGTCAGTCATTGTGGCGCTGCCAATGTGAACTCAATTGCCAAAGTCTGTGGAAAAATGTAGGCTTATTATTTAAAAAATAGTATTGATTTGGGAGTAACAAATTTCAAAATTTAAGGTTGTTGGATAATCAATTAATAACGCTTTAACAATATGCTGACATAATAAAAAAGGTGATAATGTGTTAACCACATAATTGATTTTGCAGGCGTCAAAACAGTCTCCATTAATTCGGTAGATGCACCGGCAACGATGGTCGGGTGTTCCAAGCTGAAGTGAGCCGCGCGGGCTAACGTTATTTTGAATATTTCCAAAGGATCTAAACTGTCATTATAAGTAAATCTGTTTGTAGCGGTCTCCAGGTTTTAATGAATTTCTCAGTTGTGTTTAATTTATGTCTGGTAAGTTTTGTATTACATTCGACCGCTGACATTGGCTACGATTAGAAGTGCGAGCTAGTAATTAATACTAACTTCCTTCGATTTGTGACTGTATATGGTGAGTGGGGATTTTCGTTTATCCTAGATTGTTTTGAACTAACGACATAGCTTATAGTTGTTTATTCGGAAGTTGTTGATTAACAACCACACTTTAGTGTGGTTGTAAATATGGACGGTGGGGCTGGACATGGGAGAGGATTCAAACCTCCCCCGGTCCCGCCTGACCCCCCGGAAACGGGTAGTACCCTTAATGTTAACAATGGCTCCAGTATGGAGCCCAAAAATTTAAAGCCTAGCGTAGAATATGACTAGAAAGGAAGGGGCACATGCACTGTTTATCTTGAGACATCAAAAAAAATAAATTCCTTAGAAAATATCGGTAAATATTCACATTTAAAACTAGCTAAAAAAAGGAAATATTTGACCTTCACCTCGTCGATGTGAAAATTGGCAAAGGACCTCATCAGACGATGGGTTCTACGTGTTTAGGTCATAGAGAAAGTAAAATAATTATTTTACTTACCATATGGTTTAGGTCTAGCCATAGGAAATCAGACGATTTAGATTAAACGTATTTAAGTTGATTTATTTGCGGGTTTTGCAGCTTCCAGCCGTACAACTTTTGCTTCATTTTTGGTTAGTTAGACAAAAAGCAAACGTCAGATTGCTCCAAAAATCAATTCGGATAGTTTTGCTGCCACAAAAATTCAAATAACAGCATTACTATTTACCCTATTTTTATGGTTGATAAGACTAGATTGAGATTTAGGTGAAAGTTATTTTGATTTGCTGTTCAAGTTACCCACCTTTCATCAACATGTTGCGTTTCAGGCTGAGAAAAGTACTTTTTA